CATTTCTATGTTCTGTCAAGTCAAATGAAGTAACATTCTGGTGAACTGCTGTCAGCAAAGGGGAATTATAAATGACAGTAAACTGTGTGGTTTTATGGTTTTGATGTTAAATCTGTGAAAAAAATAATTATCTTACCATGGACTACGTAATTCCTAGCTGTTAATTGATTTCCTTTGTGCAACTGGCATGTCTGTTTTCTTAATAATGAACTGTTAACCACCAATTCCTTGCACTTCTCCTTTCCTTACTGAAATAAGCAGGTAGTTCACAAAAAAAAAAAAAAGACTGAAGGTTGGTGAATATCTGATATGCTGAACTTGAGACAGACTTGCATTAAGAGCTAGCCATTATTCTTTCCAAGAGATCATGAGAAATGAGAAACAGAACAGGATATATTCAAGGAGGTGCTTTTGCTGCTGAACAGGATATATTCAAGGAGGTGCTTCTGCTGCCATGTAAAAGAAAATTATGGTAAAAACTTCAAAACTGAAAAGCTACCCAAGCCAATACAAAACCATTACTGCAGCACAATATCCCTTGTGTACAGGATAATTCTGCAGACTGTATTTATGAAAATATTAGGCTGAGCCATTCAATTACCTCTGACACAATTCCTCCTTCAGTTATGATATACTGTGATAATCAAAATCACTTGCCCCCATTCCTCAACTTGCACTTCAAAAACTAGTTATGGAGCCTGTGTCTAGACACAGACTCCTCACCTACAGCACACTATTTTAATCCACTACTATGGCTGGAAAGTCCTATACTATCCTCCAAATATAACTCATTCATTCACTTCAGACATCAACAGATTCCACTGACCTTGGTTAAATAATTTTAATTGATTTTTTCATGTGTACACAAAACAAACTTGCTCAATTATTCTTTGCAAACACAGTCAGCTTCCAAATCATTGCATTTTTATGTATTTATTCACCAATTTGGGTAATTCTTTGATGTACTTTAGCACTACAAGCTACAATAGTGCTAAAGGCTATATAAATCTATCTTGATGAACTCACAAACTGTTTAAAAGGGGAAAAAATGAAAAAATAAAAAAGGGAAAGAAATTTAAGGTCTTAGAAGAACATTGTGAGAACAAGGTAAGGATCTTCTCCCACAAATGAGTGGCACTTACAGGTAAGTGACATCGTTTCTTCTGTTCCCATCTGGTCACATGGTGACTTTTTCCTTGTATTTTAACATCACCTCTTGCACTGAGGTTATTTTTCTACTTATTCATGAAACTAAGTTTGCCAGGCCTGCTGTCCTGCTTGCTTATACTAGAACCAAACAAGGTTAACTGCGGAAATAAGTTGAGCCATTCTAGAGCACAACTGATGGAGGAATGGAGGGCTTAAACTTTTTATCACATATAAGACGTTACTAGGTCATTTTCCCTTGAAAAAAAAGGGTGTAATTGCCTTCAAATAAAGCAGCTAAGGACCATGATCCCAGGGTGATGGCCGGACACTTGGGCTTCTGCACTTTGTTGAGTAAATCTGAAAGAGTGCAATCCTTGGGAACTTTGCGCTGGCTGTCTTCCTTGAGGATTTATTCTGCTTTGTCATCTACATTGCAAGTTTTGATACAGTACTTCAATGGGGATGGATGGTTTAGAAAGTTGATATAGGATGGAGGCACCTGTATGTCCTAAGACAGTTGTTCTGAAAGCTGCTAGCAATGGCTCTTAGCTGAAGGATTGCCTGAGAATGGGACCTAACTCAAGCTAACTGGATATTATGCATCTCTGTAACACTGGTGCTGTCACAGTACATGAACTTACTGGATATTACTCCAAATGGTCATTTGTTTGAACCAAAATGGCTGTTCTTTACTAGGATATTGGTGTTTATCTGATAAACTGCAATACTGATGATGCCCCAAGGACCATGAAAGCAACTTAAGAAAATAGAGGGCTTGGATGTAGAAAAACAAAACCCACCACGATTTGGGTTCTGCTGTCATTAATCTGAAAAGCATGGTGTGATTCATTCCAGTTCTAGGAGTTTCTAACCAAAGTCAAGATGGCAACGGGTACCTGGGCAGGAACTTGTCTGGAATCCTAAATCCTGTAAATACTGTATAATATTGGATTGTTCAGCCCAGAAGAAATATGTGATATTTCTTTAATCCTAGGCCAGCAGACAGTATGAGCTACCTGGAAGAAGGGGCATATACTGCTAAATCCTGGTTATGAGAAACTATGATTTACCTCCTCTTCAATTTAGGTCATTAGCTCCTAGTAAGACATCTGAGTTTTATTTCCCTTAAATGCAACAGCTATTTAACTTCTCCATGTGGGAAAGCATAACTACTCTGTCCAGTTTTGCGAGGCTAATTTTAATTGCAACAAATTAAAAACTGGGCTGAACTCTTAAATAATTAATTACTTCTAGTTCTTTCCACTCTGACTGTGTTTACAAATGTATGAACGCACCTCTTTTAAATGCCTTGTGGTCTGTCTTTGGATGTCTTGTGGACCACAGGCTGAGGAATATTCATCTAAGCACCTGTGGAGCATGCCAGGGTGTCTTTAAAGAGTTTCACTCTTTTTCTTCAGTAATATTGATAGGCTTCCATTTCTACTGGAATGATAAAAAAATCAATAAACCAAAACCCTTTACTGATGAACTTCTTTTCTTGCCTTCTAACTTCGTAGCATGTTTGCAGTTATGGAAATATGGAGATAAAGTGAACAATAACGTGTTTAACCATAATCTTTAATTTACCCTTTTCCTTGCTCATGGTAGAATAGAAATGGCAGAGTCCAAACCTTCCAAATGAATGCAGCAAATGACTATCAATTAAGCATCAGGGAGTACAGACCTTACAGAATGACAACAGGGAGCTTTGCAGCATTTGCAAATGTGCCCAAAGTAGCTGGTTCTACAAACCAGTTGGTTCAAACCCAACTGGGAAATAGGTCTCGTAGCACAGTGCTGAGTATTTTCATGTGAGGGTTGCTGGTACCCAGCTGGTTAATGTTTGCTTGCATAGGTCTTTCTGAGCTGCAGTCCCACCACTGTAGTGTATCTCAAATCCCTGTCACCTTCTCATGAGTATCTTGCCTTCCGCACTGGTAGCAGCAGCTTCTCCCCAACAGAAACCTGGAGAAACTAAGTGAAGGCGCAACACCCTGCTGCCCAGGGAAAGGCTTCTTGTTTGTCCAAAGTGCACTTATGCTCTGAAAGTGTGATGAAGCAGAGAAAGAAGCAAAGGCATTGTGAGGGTGAGATGCAACTCCTTCCCTTAACGGCAAATCTACTTTTGCTTTAATGCCTCAGGTAATGGACAACACGTGTAACCACTGAAGTTCCCTCGGCTGCAGAAGTCAGAACAGCTCCATTTACCTACAGTGGGGCTGTGCTCATTTGTATTTTCCCTTCATTCTAGCTTATGCTGCTTACAAGGTATGTTCAGCAGTGGTCTGCTCTCCTAAAACAGTCTGTAGAATCAGTATTTAAGGGGAGAAAGTGCAGTTGTTCATTATGTTAGTTGTCACAATAAAAATGTTTTATTGTAGAAAAAAAAGTAGAAATTAAGATTTGTGGACCCTCATTCAACAGATGCTAGTTGGATAATAGTACTTGCAGTTTTTCATGTTTGGCAGTGTTTGGGTCTAGGAATAAGACAGCAGATGTAATATGGAATATAATGGCTTAGAGCTGGGTGAATTGTCACAGTTCAAGTTTGTGCAGCTCTCCTGGCAACCTGGAAATTCTAGAAACACTTAATTCATCCAAACCAGTTTTTCTTTAATGGAAAACATAGTTAACAGTGCTGAAAGAAATATGATTTTTCAGTCTGATTTCAGTGTCACTAAAGCAGAGTATACAATAAAGGAAAGCAATATAGTTCCACAAATTAGGTGGAACCGTGCATGGTAAAAAAAACTGTTTGGTCTCCAGACACTTCATGTGAATTGAGAAAGGGGGTGGAGAAATTAGTAACCCTGGAGAACCGACCGTGCACAGTAATATTAGCAGACATGTTGACTTTTCTTAAATTAAATAGCTTTGTACAATTAATCTACTCTGATTCACTGGCGTAGCCCTCCAAGCAAACCTTTCCGTTCTCCAAAGCAGTAGCTCTTTTCAAATATCCTGTTGTTTGCACTATTACACAAAACCATAGCAAAATTATTTGTTCCAAATAGAGTGGCTTTATTTTTTTTAGCAGTTGAATTTGAAAAAGTGCATGTGGACTAGTACTAATTAAGATTGTGTGGGTATCTTATCCTAATGTGATAGGGACTGCAAGTTTTCATAACACCTTGATCTGGTCATAATTAATTATGACAAGGATCCTGTGGAGCTGGAAGTGATTAGTTCCAGCCTAATTGAAGGTCACTGTTGGCTACAGTTCTGGGCTTCATCAAATAGATCATGTTATCTTATTTTTTTGGTGCAGACAGAAAATAATTAAAGAGGACGCGAAAGCATGAAGCATCTACAGATTTTCCAAATCAGTAACATAAAGAAGTATAAAAACATTACTTACACTGAAGATCTAAACTTATTTCAGGGAACTAACTAGTGTCAAAACAGTTTCTCTGAGAGGAAGAGATGAGAAAACTATTTTTGGAGATGCAGTGAATTTAACTAAGAATAATATCATCCTACTATGGTGCAGGGGAGATAATTCTGCTACGTAAATTAAGCCTCCCTTCTGGTAGCAATGATAGAAGTTGTATGCTCTCAATGTTATTGCAGCCTTGTCAGCCACCCAGGCAGCATGTTTTGGCAGACCACACAGGCATTTTCTGACTAAAACAAGTTTAGGAAATGCAGTGTGTTAGGAGGACAATGTAAAAGGCAAGCTAATGTGGAAGACTGTCCTATCTCCATCTCCTGGTTTGCCAGCCTAGATTCCAGGAGCTGCCATGATCTCTCCTGCAATTCTCCAACCCTTCCTGAGGCCTGACATTGTGTAGTGGGGTTAGAGGATCTTTAGAATTATTTTAGTAAAGGACAGATATCACTAGAGGTGGCACCTTGTAGAGCTCTGCAACAGCCTCTGTGCTCTCACAGTCATCCTCCTCCTCCAGGTCCCACTGTGCTTGCCGATGCTTCTCTAACAGCTCATGGTAAGCCTAAAAGGAACACAATAGGTATAAATAGCTGAAAAGGTTTTGATAGCTTCTTGTGATCCTCTCTTTCCCTTCCCTGATCCCCTTCCCATGTACCACCACAACAGTAAGTGTTTATCTGGAACTGTGACTCAGGGAAACGAAACTTAGCTTACCACATTAATTTGAGCATATCCAGTCTTGAGTATGAAACTGCATAGCCTCAGCAATTTGGGGTTAAATAATATGTACCTAATACTGGAAAACATGTGAAATGATCTGATCTGCAACCTGCTTTCCTGTGTATGAATATCACTTCATCACAGCCAGTACTATGAGGTTCAGAACAGACATCAGATATTATCATCAGATGCCTTAGTTACAGCCATATCATACTGCACAGGGATTTTGCACTGAGGTTGGTCACCATGTCCCATGGTGGTCCCTAAAAGGCCGATCTATGACTTGGTCCTGATTTAGTCCTTGATCACAGATTTAAGAGGGATGCAATTTTTTCCTTCAGGACAGGACTAAATGTGTTGGCAGGCTCATGTGCTGTAATGGAAGACCAAATTTCACAGACAACATTTAATTCTATAGAATAATGAATGGTCTTATACATAAATATTCCGCATTTTGATTTAAACTGCCAAGTGTCCTCTTACATTCCCATGGTAAATATGGCTTTCTTAGGTATGTCAATAGGGCTCTTCTAAAGAGCACAGAAGAGCTCATAAACTCTTCATGTACAGGTCATTCTCGTAGAGGTGGAATTTAAAATTCACACTTATCATGAAATTGTAGTTTCTCACCAAATTTGACAAGTTAATTGCTGTAACTTGTATGTCCACCAGGCTAAGCAAGACTGGGTTCCTGCAACTGGCACTTTTTGGCTATGTGCTTCACTTCATCATTCCTGTATTCTCTGCCAGTAAAAAACAAAATGAAAATCCTCCTTTTCCAGTGGAAACATAGATGAAAGAGACAGAATGACAGAGGGACTCTAACCTTTACTATCTAGGTCATTCTGTCATAAAAGTATCAGAGCTGTAGTAACTAAATCATTACCATCCAACTTGTGTTCAGAAGAAACTAATGTGAAAAAAGTTCATTGCAAAATCCACCTTCTTAATTGGCAACCCCTTCAAATTCAGCAGAAAGGTCAGTTACTGCTGAGGCTGCTATGATGGTGGTGCGAGCCCTTTGATGAGATGGAGTGGGGGGGAAGACACAAAAGAAAAGGGCGTTTGATGGGTACAACTCTGGGCTCATGGTGAGGATTCAAGACCAACTCTTGTGCTGATTTTGGCTGGGATAGAGTTAATTTTCTTCATAGTAGCTAGTATGGGGCTATGTTTTGGATTTGTGCTGAAAACAGTGCTGATAACACGGGGGATGTTTTCATTACTGCTGAGCAGAGCTTACACAGAATCAGGGTCTTTTCTGCTTCTCACATCTCCCCACCATGGAGAAGGTTGGGGATGCACAAGAAGTTGGGAGGGGACACAGCTGGAACAGCTGACCCCAATTGACCAAAGGGATATTCCATACTATATGACATCATGCTTAGCATATAAAACTGGGGGAAGAAGGAGGGGTGGAATGTTTGGAGTGATGGTGTTTGTCTTCCCAAGTAACTGTTACGTGTGATGGAGCCCGGCTTTCCTGGAGATGGCTGAGCCCCTGCCTGCTGATGGAAAGTGGTGAATGAATTATTTGGGTTTTTTTTTGCTTGTGTCCCTGGGTTTTGCTTTACCTATTAAAATGTCTTTATCTAAACCCATGAATTTTCTCACTTTTACTCTTCCGAATCTCTCCCCCATCCCACTGTGGGGGGAGTGAGTGAGCAGCTGTGTGGTGCTTAGATGCTGGCTGAGGTTAAACCATGGCAGTACTTCACTGCTGAGCTGCCTGTGAAACCTTGAAACAGGTTTAAAATAGCTCCTCAATGCTGAGGGGATTGTTCATACAAAATAATTACTGGACTATTTAAGTCAAATCATGGGAGCTGCGAATACATACATATTTTTCTTGTTCTTCAGAGTGTCTCTGGACTCAAGACTCCATCTGTCCTGGGACAAAAGGCTCTCTTCACTGTGGCAGCAGAAAGGCTTAAATTTCTGATTTGTCTTATTATTTCCACACAGGTATTTCCTAACACTAAGACTCAGTTGTGTTCTGTCTTGCAGCATAAAGTGCAAGTTGTCCATTCCTGCTCAGCCTGTCACAAACAGATCTTTAGACTACTGTTTAGTTAAGCATATCTTTTAGCTCTCTAAGGTGTACAGAGCATCTCTTGCACAGAACTGTGTAGCTCTAAATTTGTGGGGGAGAAGTCTTAATACAAAATATCTAAGCTTTGTTTAATGAATTTGGGATGTGTCCAAGAGTTTTGAATGATGTGTATAAGGAAAATACATTCACGAGTTCTCAACGGCTACAAAAATGTGTGATAGAATTATTTGTCTCAAGTTATGAAAAGCCAAAGAAGTAAAATGTGCTCTACTGTTTTAAAGTGCTTGAAACCTTTTGTTTTGAAGTGAGGTGTTGCCAGGCAGGTGTTGCATACAAGAACAGTAACTGCATTATCCAATTCATACAATATAATTAAAGAACTTGGCCCTGCAGTACAAAACTGCAGTGTTGAAATCAATAAATTTTGACAGTTTGCTACAGCTGGAATCTGGGTCTTCTCACACAGTAATTTATCCAAGTTATTAGATTTCATCAAAAGTTTAATTCTGCTGGATGTAACCACTTTAACATTAAATTACTTCTTTTAATGAAAATTGAGGATTGATTTTTTTATTTCTTAATAAATTTGGTCTGTAGTTCTCAGCAGTTATAGTTTTGCAGCTCTCAGCATTTACAGCTAAGAACTCTTGATTTCATTTATACTTTCTGAACAATAACAATAGAGCTCTATAGAAAATATGGCCAAGAAAACATTCTACTGGCCATTGTATACCATATTGAATTATCTATTGCAAACCTTCTCTAAGATATCCTGCCAGTGATCATAATGAGTTTTCCCTCTGCTTATGTGAAATTTGATAGTCTTTTGAGCCTCAGTAGCCTCACTCATAGAAAAGCAATTAGATCAGTGCAGTCTGCTTTCTTCTGTAATGCAGGCCAGATACTTTCCTCCAGAGATTTCCTACATTGAACCAAACACACAGTATCTAAATAAAAGATGTTTTCTACAAAACATGCAATCTAGTATTAATACCCTTTGACATTTTGTTCCAATGCAACAAGACCAACACTGGAGGAAAAGTCTCTAGGCACACCTAGGCAATAGGGGGTCTGACCCTGTTCTACCTGTGCTAATTCAAAAATCCTAATTTTATAGAACTGGAAGAAATCTGAAATATATCTGGCCTTAAAACCTAATGGAACATTGAAAGTAAGCTTTTATGTGCTCACCTTAAGAAAATCATGAACATCTTCATTATGAAAAGTTTTACTGAGGAGACTCTCTTGTTCATCTTTCTGTCTGTGTTTGAACTCTTCTCTCTTCTTTGCACGGCACTCCAGTCGTTTCAAGATCAGGTCCTTACTTTGCTGGATACATTCTGGAACATAAAGCACTAATGATTAGATACCACAACTCCACAAGGAGAAAGTAGCATCTGCTACTGTCACACAACATAAGTTCACAGAAATCTGTTAGTGAGTGAAACAGGCAAGTAATTACCATGCAGGATTTCAACTTTCTTACCCTGATAGTCTTTTTAGATGCAAACTTTTGGGTTGTTACATGGCACTTAAATCTATCAGGTGTTTGGATCACTACCATACTGCACCCTCCCTTTCGCTGGTGCTGCTGTTTACGCAAAAGAAGTGTGTTCAAGAAACAGGTTCCCACCTGCAGGACCCCAAACCTCCCCATCCTGCTTCGGGAAGGTCCAGAAGTGGCTCATTACCCAATTGCAGATATGCAAATGCTGCTGCAAGGACAGGTGCAGTAACATATGGTGGGGAGAAAAGGTCTAGAGCAGTGCTAGTTCAGATTAGCTTGAACTGGCATGCAGCCATATCAGGTTTCCAAAGTGACTCGTCCAGGAACCTGCAGCAAAAGTTGTCAAGGTCCCTCTGATTTTGTGATAGCACTGTGAAATATTTGGGACTGAGCTATTTCACCCTTTGCCCCACCCCCCCTATAATTCAAAGTGATTTATAAATTCATGAGTCTATCTGTCCAGCAGAGTGGAAATAGCACTTTTGATGTTCTGCCACTACTTCATGTCTCATTGCCTGTACGCCTAAAAACTTTATTAATTTCCCCCACCCACCCCGTCCCAAACCAGTACTTCACTCCTGACACAGGCAGCTAAAGGGGAATGCCAAAGAATAGTCATCTCTCTGTAGCTGCTGTTCTGCCACCATTTCAAGCTGCTTTAACTATGAGAAATTATTTTGTGGAGAAATAAAGGAGTACAGTTCTGTAGCACTGAGCATGTTACTTATTCTCCATGCTAATTTATCATGCTTATCCACAGGCTGATGATGCACTGACAAAACACTTGGAAATGCACTGAAAGTATGGGAGAGCCTGCAATAAAAACGTCATCTGAACAAATGTAGCAACTGTTATTTTTAAACACTACTCGATTCTTTACTATTTCCTTGTTTGTTTCCTAGAAGCACAGTCTTGCTGGCTTTGTGTTCTGCTTTTGAATTACAGGTACAGTTTAGCATGTATTTAGGAGCTCACAAGCAAGGTCAACATAGACTTTCATGTGAAAATGCTGCACTACAGATTGATTTTTTTTTTTTTAAAGCACATTTCATTTATATCTAAAACCAGCAGGTTGATAATGCCCTTCTGCACGGGCTGTACTAACTATAATATATAGTTATATATAACTATAAACACCTACTTTGCATAAAATCAAGGCCTTGGCAGAGGTATTTTTCCTTTGGAACAAGAGAAACTTGACAAAAAAAGGGGGAAAAAACACCCACAGACGCACATTTATGCTTAAGGAATGTTAGTGGCTGAACCTATGCAAGGAACATGAACTAGGCAGGCCAGTTTTAGGAGCAAACATCCATGAGTTAATCTGTATCGTGATATATGTGAATTCATGAATATCAGCAAACTGCATGGTTAATCGATGTTTTTAAAGTGGAGCAAATCTACAGCATAGGAATTCCAACCAGCTTCTACAATGAAATGACTGGCTTGGCAGATGAGGGGAGAACGGTGGATACTGTCTTCTTTGATTTCAGCAAGGTTTCTGACACAGTCTCCTGTTGGATCCTCAGATGAAGAGGATGAAGTATAGGCTGGATGAACAGACAGTGAGATGGACTGAAAACTTGCACAAAGTCCACCTGTAAACCAGTAATGAGTGGTATAATCCAGGGGCCAATACAGGATCCAATCCTGCTCAGTATCTTCATTAATGACCTAGATGATGGGGCAGAGTGCACCTTCAACAAGTTTGCAGGGGTTACAAAAAAATCAGGAGTAGCTGATAACCAGAGGGTCATGCTGCCAACCATAGGGCCCTTGACAAGCTGGAGAAATGGGCTGACACAAATCTCATGAAGTTCAACAAGGGGAAGTTCAAAGTCCTGCAACTGGGGAAGAACAACCCCATGCACCAATAAATGCTGGGGACCACCCAGCTGGAAAGCAGCTTGGCAGGAAAGGACCTGGGGGTTCTGGTGGACATCGGGTTGAACATGAGCCAGCAGTGTGCCCTTGCTGCAAAGGGTAACGGTATCCTGGCTGCACTAGACAAAGCATTGGCAGCAGGTGGAGGGAGGTGATCCTTCCTCTCTAGTCAGCACTGGTTGGATCTTACCAATGTATATGAATACCTGGAGGGAAGGTGCAAAGAAGACAGAGCCAGGCTGTTTTCAGTGGTGCCAAGTGACAGGATAAGAGTCAATGGGCACAAACTGAAACATGGGAGGTTCCCTCTGAACATCAGAAAACACCTTCTTACTGTGGGGGTGACTGAGCACTGGCACAGGTTACCCAGGTAGGTTGTGGAATCTTCATCCTTAAAGACACTCAGAAGCTATCTGAAAACAGTTCTGGGCAACCACCTGTAGCTGATCCTGCTTGAGCAGGGGTGGACCAGATGACCTCCAGAGGTTCCTTTTGACCCCAACCATTCTGTAATTCTGTGAACTGCTGACCAAGACAATTTATCAACACAAAGATTGAAACTGAATGAGCAGCACTGCAGTAAGAATATACTGCAACAAGACTACATTCGTTCTGACTATTCAGTTCACTGAATGCTTACCCTGATGCCATTTTTAGACCAATTTTCTTTAAATATGTCCACAGGTAGCAGAAATGGTTCTGGAAGATGTGTGGGAATAAAACACTTCTCATTGTTTTCCTTTTGGCTGAAAGTGTACTACAGCTTTCCATGAGTGCTGATGGGAAGCACTGAGCCCACCGTATCACTGCTTGATGCAGCACCTATCAGAGAAGTTGGGGGTATGTTTCTCAGCATGCTGGGCATCAAGTAACATGCAAAGTGACACAGGGAGAACCTTAAATCAGTGGATCAGTCAGCTTAAACATCGTTACAATGGTGTACTTTACAAATAGGCAATGTGAAGGGGTGTAAGAGGAAGAGAAAAAGACTACGTTTTTAAAGTATTTTAGTCTGACATAATAAAAAAAGAGGTTTATCTGACGATCGCAAGCCTTAAAATTAACTTTTCACAAGAGTGATAGCACAACTATGTTTTGTGTATCTTCTGGCTCCACATGCTAGCAGGAGATCATAAGACAATATTCTGCACATATATAGCTATTACTGTTGCTAACATTTCCCGTATCACCAACAATGTCAAGTATGCGAACGGTAAATAGAGAAATCTCACAAGTACTTGTAAAAACGTGACTCTTCTTCAACCTTCAAATTAACGAAATAAGGTATAGATTATGTGAACTGTAGAGTAAATTCATAGTTACGCCTGGAACAAGACCTAAAAGGCTTAAAGCCAAAGTTCCTATTCTAAGCATCCACCCTTCACAGTAAGTGTCCTTGGCCATTTCATCAGTACCTTTTAAAACAGAGGAGTATAGGGCCAAAGCCATAATTTTTTTACTATTTAATACAATAATGAGAACTCATATCCATATTTGTTATTTCATGCTCCAGTCTAAGTACTCACCATTACTCAAATGTGTCAGCTGTTCCCAGAAGGCCTTGTGCAGATCTGTTAAAAGTTCTTCCTTTTGTCGGACTGAGAGATTATTCTTTACAGTTAAATGGTCCAGAATATTTGATACAATATTTAACCTACACTTGCACTCTTCTGGTATATAACACTTCAGTGAATCGATCATTTTCACCATAAGCTCCCAGTTAAATAATCTCTCCTGAATGTCCTAAAACAAACATAAAAAAGTCCTGTTTAGAAACCAAGAACAGGTCTTTGGTTGTGCTTGTCCTTTCATTGAATTATTACTTCCCAAACTATACATAAAACCGAGGAGGTTCTCAGGACCTTATGATTAACAATCTTCATGTGCTTAAATACTTTTGAAAATCTTGACTGGTATAAGATAGCAGTGGGTTTATTGCACGTTCAGTTGCAAGAGCTAATCTGAAACTATTGGGAGTTTTTCGTTATTTGTAGCTGTCAAAGAAGACATTACGGCACTAAAAGACAACAAGAAGCATGTGGAACAAACTTAAATACTCAAGGGTGAAAGATGGGCAGAAGGGCAACACAGAAGTCCTGGATCTCTTTTCAAGATACTATATGGCACACCAGTATGGGCCTTCACTTTGAAATGAGGACACACATCTGATTTTGATACTGCTGGGATTCCTTCAAGTATGTGGTCAGCTGGAGTTCAGTAAATATACTAAAAATCTGTATAATTCCCTATGGCTCAGCAGCTTTCATAGCACTAGCAAAGAAACAGCCCAGGATAACAGTAGGGAGTAAAGACTGAAATCTTGAATCCTCAGTGAAATCACAACTGTTTTAGACAATGCTACAAGGTTGGAAAGAGTGCGACAACTATTGTAGTTAATGAAGACAAATATACAATGACCTTTGCAATGAGATGCAAGCATCATGGTAGTGACTTCGGGTAGGAATATTTTCTGTATCTGTATCCAAACACTTTATTTGAAGTCTGCCCATCTGAAGGAACTTAGTGTACAGTAGCCTGGTATAGGTCAAGTGTGATCAGCTGCAAAGACTATTTTCATACCTTGCCAGCTCAGTTTACTTAGCTGCTCCAACACAAAATTAACAAGCCAATAATTACTGTAGCTGTTTATTAGTAAGCCAAATAAAGCTATTTATCCATTTATCCTCCAAATTACTAACTAATAAATGCAGTGGGTCAGATTCTGATTATACTGTTAATATATAAATTCCAAGTAATTCTTTCAGGATGTCCTGTGAAAAGCAAATAAAGATATTTAACACAACATAAAGCACAGTACTGATACATTTATAAACATATTTTTCCCTCCAAAGACCGTATCATGAAGAGATGTTAAGGGTTTTCAAATCCAGTTGAAGTCACTGAACACACAGAATCACCCTCAAATTTAAATTAGGATTTCTTAGTCAAAGTGGAATAAATACTCTGAAAGAAAAAGAAATGCCCTGATGTCCAGGGTAATGACTGTCCTTCATCATTAGACCTAGTGCTCTTGCTCTTGGCTCCCTGGTTGCATTAGTATCACTTTTTCCTAACATGTCTGCCAAAACGGTATTTTGAGAATCAGAACTCAAGTGTAGTAGAGCTTTCGCCCTCCTGTGAGTCTTCATAAACTGTAATGGAAGTTGAGCTTTTTGCAACAAGGCCAAAAGAGACAACTGAAGTAAGCAGTCTACATTATTCCTGAGGCTGGACAGACTCCGTACACTTGCATCATTCTTTGTGTTCAGATTGACTACATCTCTCTCAACTTCTGTTTCTTTTTGTACTTTACCATTGCCTGCGAATCTTGAGATTCACTTAATAAGCTTTCTACTTCAATCATCTTCTCAGTCAGATCCATCATTATCTTTGTTGCTTTGGCACTTGAGCATTTTGATTGGTCCAAAAAAGCCTGCTGGGCTTTGTCAGTCTGCTTCCAAAAAGTTTCCATCTGTGGAATATGAATCAAAAACAATCCATGTTCCCTCATTAATCATCTAGTATTTCATTACAGCAAGAGGCATATGAGTCTACTGAGATACAAGTCACTAAGACTACAGAGAGCTTTTAGTATTAGTTATAGTGAATATTTTGCAAAGCTAAAGAGCCTGTTTACTAGATGATGACACACATGTTGGTGGCACATAACCGGTAGGTCAGTCCTGACGTTCTTAAACACAGATATTCTGTTTAACTCGCTCAGAATTTGTTGTTAGTCCTCCACATAGTGCATCTATAAAAGCCTACTACGTTGTAAGCATTAATGGGAAAACTAAAAAAAGATAACAAACTGCAGCCCTTTTTTTCTGGGAAATTTATTTAGCTGTAAGAGTACGCATTTCAGGCAAACAAGATTTTTGCTAAAAAAGGAAAACTGAAAATTGTCACTGTTTTTCACCATCAAAGCTTTTCATAGCCACATGCTACACAAGCACTTTATTAACTGCACTGAAATTACGTACTTTCCCCAGTATCAGCACAGTGTATGTGCCCATTCTGGTATATTACTGTATGAGTAATCTCTAGTTTTAGGCTCTGATCCCACAGACACTTACGACTGTGCACAACTGTGAATATGCTGTGATCTTTAATGGGATTACTAGTACACATAAAGGTAAGAAAATGTATCCATTGCCCAGATTTGTATTAATTATCTGTGAGTTTTGAAAAAAAAATGTGACTATGGCATCTGAATATTGCAAAAAAAGTCTTTATATTACTGAGGGAAGAATGGATTAGTTCAAGGTCCTGATCTATATGAATCTGTGTACAGGGCAATCATTTTCAATATGGACAAAAAGCATTTGCTGGCAAAAGAGTGACAGACCTGCTGAAGGATGGCTGCTGCTGGTGAATAACTGCCTCATGTTGCTCAGTGAGGCTGTGAGTGATTTTTTAATGTGACTAACTCTAGAGAACTTAATCAATTTTTCACAGAGGAAAGTTAAATTGCAAAAGAGGCGTGACACAGATGTACCATCATTATAAGGACTCCCACTATAAAGTGAAAGGCACAGAGACTCAAGAGAAAGCTGAGAAAATTTCCAGTGAAGCACTTAACCAGCAGACATTTAAAAATGTTAACTCCTCGATGAAAAAGGCCCAAGGCTGAGATGATGGACTGTTTAGTTCAGTGCTGAAGTGTCACAGTCAATCAGTGCAGGCAGTTCACAGAGCCATCAGTCTGACTAGTCAGTCTCTCATTTTCATTAGCAGTGAATTTGCTCAAACCTCAAAAACAGGACTGGGAAGGAAAATATCTTCCAGATTACTCAGTTGACTGGAAAATAATATACATAATATTCTCAACCTCCAGTTTTCTAGCCTGAAAGCTATTCGGACACAGTGACACTACTGAAGAGAACAAAAAAAAGATTTTTACTTCATGAGTCAAATGTGTGCTATCAAACCATATTTTTACATCAAAAACCCTGTAAATGTATTCTAACGTGGAAAGTTGCTAAAGAAAAATGTTTTGCTGAAGTAAATGTGCAAAGCATGCTAAAAGGTTGTACTGTAATTATTTTCTTAGTACTTATTCCAGCTGAAAGTTTCATAGTCTCTTGCGCATTTCTTACTGAGTTAAAGTCAGGCTATATTTAGGCTTGAAACAAATCTTACCATCTGACAAGCAGTAGAAATTTCTCAGCTCTAAATTCAGTGTGATAAAACAGTGTTTGTATAAAAAACACATTGGCTCCCTAAGGGAGTTGGAAATACTTTGCTGAACCAATGTAAAAATGTTTTCAGGACTCATACACATCTAAAACTACTAACTGTGGACTAATCAACACAACAGTTAGAAAAAAAAATAAAAGAGCATTCCTCATCAAAAGAATAACATTAAAACAAAATTTTAGAAACATTTAGAAAGTTACATTATCTATTACGTGCTCAGAATATTCCCTTTCTTTCCTTTCTAAGTCTTCTAGGGTCTGGTACTCTGAATTATGGGCTCCTGACATTTCAGTATTCTGGAGTCTGGAATCAAGTTGTTTCTGTAATTCTTCAAAATCCTGGGGAAAAAAAAAAAAAGGAAGTGATCTGTTAAACAGAAAAACAGACATAACTTCTAAATTCAGGAGTGACTTTTTAAGTCAGTTCTGGCTCATGGCTAAGGAAACTGAACAAGAACATTCAGAAAGTTCTGTCTCTGCATAATGCATCTTTTGCCGCAGGCAAAGACAATTCAAGGTATATGGCAGCTCTGAACCACGCTTAATACAAATACATACATTTCCACTTGTATGTGAGTACAATCAACTGTTGTCCATCTTCATGGAATTAAAGTCTTAGTAAACACTGCTTCATGAGCTCTCATACTAATAATCCTCTGAATATATCCACAATATTTTTATTTTAATGGACGTGCCCCATCTTAAATGGCAGCTATGAGTGTACATGCTGTGTAAAAGCACAGGTAAGTATCCAGATGTGATAAACAGATAGTATTTCTTGCAGCATGCTAGCACACACAGATGAACACACCTGTAATGCTCATAAGGGACAAAATACAGGCTACACGGTTATATGGGTTTTTAAATTTTTTCAATCCTTTGAATCAAGGATGACTTTCTGAAAGCGAACAATACCATCAAATACTAGTCTTCTGCCATTACTTACTAGGTTGGTACTGAAATGGATGGTATTTCACTTGCTGAAATATGCCTTATGTCTTTTAACACCACCCAATCTTGAGTGTCAGTGCATTAACTTGATACCCTTATGCCTAAAGCAAATGTAACCAGATTTTGACAAAGAGGAAAATGCTGTCTGTAATAAATCATATAATCCTGTGTTTTACCAATGCAGTGTTACAGTGAATAGTTTCCAGCATTAATGCTTTTGCTTATTACCAGTATCTCTTTTACATGGTATTCATAACCAGCCTCATTCCTTATTTAATAGCCCAAGTCTAAGGCTGTCATGTTTCCAAGACCTTTCTCTCCATAACACAGAAATCTCATATTGACATTTAAACAACTGGACTACTCTGGCAACTACTGCATCTAATAAACAAGATTCAGCCTTTGTCTTGCAGAAGCTCAGTTAGGTGCATGAAGACAGTGATGTCGTCAAGCCTCATTGAGAGTTAGGCTATTGTCCTGGGTTGAGTGAATGGTGGAGTTTTTTGGTGGCAGGGGAGGGGGTTATCGGGGCGGCCCCCTGTGAGAAGCTTCTCGAAGCTCCCCCAGCCCCAAGTCAGCTCCACCTCTGCACCAAAACTGAGCCCATCAGCTGCGCCTCTGCGATAACATATTTAAGAAGGGACGTGGTGATGGGCAGTGGGACTTGTGAGGAGGAGTTGCTGCAGCTGCGTGAACACCAAGGTCAGTGGAGGAACGGAGGAAGAAAGGAGGGGGAAGGTGTGCCGGAGCAGAGACCCCCCTGTATCCTGTGGTGAGACAGCAGGGCGGCCCCCCCCCCTGCCACCCATGGAGATCTACGGTGGAGCAGACATTGATTTATGGCCTGTTGCTCCTGCTCAGATGATCAAGGTTCTGTGCCCGAAGAAGGCCGGGGTCTCATGGGAAAAGGTAGCCCCGCTGCTGTAATTCAGCACTGGGAGGATTGCAGCATGCGGGGGAGTCCCACGCCGGAGCAGCTCGGGAAGGGCTGCAGCCGTGGGAGAGAATCCAGTCGGAGGAAGTTAGTGACCCATGACAGAGCAGTGTGGGGAACGCTGCGGCCCATGGGAGGAATTCAAGTCGGAGAAAGTTTGTGGAGGACTGTCTCCTGTGAGAGGGGGACCACGATGGAGCAGGAGGAACAAGTTCCAGACACTCCCCTCACCGAAGATGAAGGAAGTGGCAGAGCTGACTGCACCCCCCATTCCCTGCCCCTGCGCCACTGGGGGAGGAGGTAGAGATATCGGGAGCAGAGCTGAGCCCGGGAAGAAGGGAGGGGTGGGGGGAAGGTGTTCTCAAGATGTGGCAATGCTTCTCACTGTCCTACTGTGTTATGTGTTGTTAGTGTCTGTAATAAATGTAGGTTTTTTTTTTCCTTCCCCTAACGAGTCTGCCTTTTGCTCGTGATCATAAAAGGGGGATTTTTCCCCATCCCAGTCCTATCTTGAACCCCAAGCCTGGCTCTCTGTCCCTTCTCATTGCCGGAGGGGAAGGGAGAGAGAGCTGCTGCATTGTGGTTGGCTGCCAATCAGGCCTAAACCACAACAGCTATACTGGGAAACATGCCTCATCTATATTACCTCTGTATTTATAATTTGAAGTCATTACCAGAAGTCCATCAGAAAAAGGGATTTGCACACCAAATCTCACTTTTCATTTAGTACATACAATCAACTTTAATACTAAGCCTCAGGATTTAAGGCACAAGAGTGGTTTTAAGGCAAAATGCATTCTGACATTAATTAGGTATAACTACAAAGATTCCTGATATTAATTTACAGATTGTGAGACTGCACAAACAAAATAAATCTCAACAACTAGAGCTGAAAAGCTGATAGACTAACGCCTAAATGTGAAATTCTATCTGTACGTAAGAAAAAAAAAAAATCATTACTGTGAGAAAATTAAATACTGGACTAGACTGCTCAGAGAAATGGTAATGTCCCCCCTTCAGTGAAATACTGAAGACCTGGATTGGCAGGGCACTGGATAACCTTACATATGACAACTTCCTGTAGGAAGGAGGGCCAGATGGTCTCCAAACGTGCCTCTCAACCCAGACTCTTCTATGACTCCAGTCTGGAAAATGGGAAGTGGAACCAGTAGTTCTCCTATACTGTTCTGTTTCGTAAAGCTTTTTTTTCCTCCTAGTGATCGTAAAAATAGTACTGTGACTCCACCTGAAATGTACATTGACTGTCAACGCATGTCTTCCAGTTCAGAAGTGGCATATGGATTTTGATAAAAGTAAATGGAAGAAAAAAGGACAGCGAGGAAAATAAGTATATTTTCCCTTGATGAAAGCCCTGAATTTCCTTCTGGTAATTTATTTCCTGCTATTCTATTTTCAGTAATGATACATGGGACCAGACAAAGACCTGATAATTAGAAATTATCAAATCTGAGTGAATAAATTTAACAATGTTCTGTTTGCTTGAATGGATTCAACTACAAAATACTTTTATCTTTGGACTACACACATCACTGTCTTGATCACCTCATACAATAACAAAGAGGAAACGCATACAAGGTAACGGAAAGAATCAACTAACAAGGGAGTATCTTTGTATTTCTTCTGAAATAGATTACAAATTACATTGCTGCTTAAAAGGAGTAGGTGAGATAGCCTGCTGTGGCTGCTTGCACCAACTGGTGGGATTAACTCTTATTTTTCTGTGGTCTTAAATATTAACCAGCAAAACCACTTACATTTTCCTGAATTAAAAGGATCTTCTTGAACAAATCATCAGTAATCTTCTTTTTATGATAAAAGTCTGTGAGGTATATTTTGAGAACCTGAATAAACATCTATTTAAAAGGAAGGAAACAAAACCCAGGGTAAATGCCTGTTCAACACTGTAAGAGCATCTTTGTGATAACTTTTGTTGATTTAAATAAATCGGTGAGACTACAGTGAATCATAAACAAAATAACAGAACCATCATCAGCAACTCTGGCTTTGGCTTCAGTAAGATACTGGAAGATGGTGCTACATTCTAACAAGGACAAGGACATAATCTCATATATGCTTGTAACCAGACTGACACATTTGAAACTGTTCTTTACTGGAGAAAATGCAGATCACTTAAAAATATAAAGCATTTTTCTAAAGTTTAATGAACTCCTTAACTGAACGATACTAACATATTCATTACTATGATTTCCACTGTAGTCAGCTAAATGAAATATCAACATTTTTATATACAACCCAAAAGTAACCATCTCAAGTTCTAGCTACCTTCTCTTACAAAAAATATACCTATTTTCCAGTTGTGTACTACTATTTTTTTTTTTTAAGATTGTAATGCTAGTGTCTTCAAAAAGTTGGTTTTGAACACTGGGATAATTTTTGCTTAACCTCTTCCCCTGTATCCTCTATTAGAGTGTCAGTGTAAAGACAATTCACTTCATTATTAACTTCTGCAGCATTTTCCAATGTGACAATATGTGAAATTTAACAGCCACCTGCCTGTTATTCATGTGCTTGAAAACAGATGATGCAGAAGTTGCCCATTTTAAACATATAAAAGCATAAATAAAAGCATATTTATATTTAAAAACAGTTATCGAAGCCAACATTACAGCTGAGCAAAATCTCAAAAATATGCTATAATTACAGCTCAGTAGAAGAGAAAACCATAAAGAACCTATTCTCTACACTGAAATATTTTCTGTTCTTTTCCCCAATAGCAAAAATAAAAAGCTATTCAAAGCTTCAGCTAAAGGTCAATGTCATCTGCCTTCTGTGGTAATTGCTGGTGCACCACAAAGTGTGTTAAATGCTCATTTTCTCAGTGTTTCTATGTTCGTATCACCATGTTGCTACCTTACCTTCATTTACAAATTGATGATTAACTTTGAGATCAAGTTCAACCTTCCCTAGTCAAGCTAAACTTCCTTCTGAAATCTGATCTCCAGTCCCCTTTCTAATCTACTTAGATGGGAATAACACATCAGAAGAGAAGCTGCTTTCTAGGTTTATTTTCATGCTTCCTCCTTTGGGTTGTTTAGAAATTTGTTCAGAAAACCCCACGCCTTGAAATATTCTCAGTGCACTGTAATAAATTATATCAGAAATGATCAATATGTTTAAACAGAGGTCGGGAAAGAAGGGGAAGGGAAAGCTATATACTTTATATCCAGACTTTAACTGAGCTAAAACTCAGTAACAGTAATGATTCTGTATTTGACCATAACTAGTTACCATAAACTCCTACCTGACTACTCAGTGGCTTTAATTGTATACATCCATTTTTGTTTTGTTTTGGATTTTTTAGTCCTGTCAGCTCTGGATGCTGTGACTTGATGTAGGTAGCTGTCTATGGTTTAAATGGGTATGTTAATTCCTCTGTCCTACAAAATCATGACTATTGTGCTTATCACAACGGTACTGATTCAACTAAATTTTAAATTTTATTCAAAGAGCTTGGAGTCCTTGAAGTTGCAATGCACAAGCATTGTCCTTAAGACATAAATTCATCTATTAAATAACTTTTTTCCTCTTTTTATGAATCTCAAGTGTTGTATGCTATTTTCTGGAGTAAAGTTTAAAAACAAATGTTTATATTATCCAGTCTGACCCTCTATATTTCACAGCCCAATATATTTTTTTATTCCTTTACGATGCTCATATATATGCAGAACAGGAGAAAAGATAAAGAAAATACTGCAGAAATGCAACTCTGCTACATTGCTTCCCAGCCAGTTATGTTATTTTCTACACCGATATTCAACTAAGATGTTCAAAACAAATAGCTATAGATGAGACATGAGTACCTACCACATGCTTTTCTTTTCTGAGTTCAGTATCAAGAAGCAGGAGATCTTTTAAAATAAGACTGCAAAGGCAGATCTTAACATCAAAACTAAAACAAAGATTAAAAAAGTGTTACTATCAATCTAAATGAAGGTTACACAAGAGGGTGACACCATATAGTAGTTTCATTTAACCACTAAATTCTCCTAAAAGCATCGCCCCAAAACAGCAGTCAAGTCACTTTATTTCCTCACTGCCTTCTCTTTCAGAAATATATCTACATAAAAGTAAGTAAAACAAAATAGTGCTTTTAACAAAATTGGAGTTGCAGTTCCCTTTAGAAAAAGGTTAGGTAAATATAGGCATGAGTGGCTACAACAAAGGGAAAACAAGGCTTTAAAATTAAAACAGCTATAATAAAAGTGGATATTTTGAAAACACTCTTCATCACTAGTAACAGTGATACAAACATAATTTTCTTTATTCTTCCCAATGAGAAAACAGACAAATATGTACTCATCTAGGGATACCTTGCCAAGGTGCAGCTGAAAGAAAATCAGATCTGACAGTTCATTTCAATTAGCATTACCTGCTCATCAGTGGCACATCTGAGAAAGGAACTGTGTTCCCACAACGAGACATGAGTAGTTCCCATTAAAACAGAGAGAACACTGCCACTTGCTGTTCTCAAGGCATCTGTGGTGTGACTTGACGTTGCACAGTGCAGAGGACTCTATCCCCAGCTGATCATTGCCACTGCATGTGTGAACTGGGCATACAAGCCAAAAGATAGGGAACTCCTTACCCTAATAGTGACATACCTTTCACAAGACAGCTTTTGCAAAAGTTCTGGTTCCCAGAATTTCATAAAGAACAAGCTGACTTTCACTATGCAGCATGATGCATTCATCTCCCCTACTGCTTTTTTACAGTTATAATCAGATAACCCTGTCTTGATGTGGTGATTGTATGCATTCAAGCCCAGCCTTTGGTTTATACCAGACCTTTAGTGATTGTCCTGAAAACCAATGGGGCATGCTAAGCAACAACGAAACACAAAGACAGGTTTACTGCTTACCTCTCACATGTTAGCACTTCAGGGAAGCTGGTCACTTTGAGGAAGGCTCGAGCCTGAAATCTGTCATCACTTGTTGTGGAATGTATTGTTGTGGAGGAACTGCAGTCCTCTTTGTCTCCCTGGCTCAGGGATTCCAGGCTGCCTGACGTAGATGTCTCCATGACCTGATTAGGCAGAACCGCCTGCTTTGGATTCTCATGCAGAGATGGATTGGATGAGCCATCCGCCAAAGGCTACAGTCAAAGAAAATTTACAAGGTCAATTAATACAACACAATAAGGAGATAAACATCTCATCAATTTCCAGTGTTTGCTTTCAAGTGAAAAATTAAACAATATACACAGCAAAACTGTTTCCACTAAATTAAGATTCATCATACTGACAGGTTTCTGCATTGCCCAGAAAAGTATCCTTCTGTTGCAGTTATCTCCTTGGTGCATGTTTTCTTACTGAGGGGCAGATCCTTCTGGTGTTTTTTCTTATGGCTCCTTGGACAGGCCCAACTTCCGTTAATGTTAATTGGAAGAAAAGATCTCTTGACTACAGGAAAAACTGACTGGACACCATGTAAAGCACTGCAGGTTTCAGGGGGAGATGAAAGCAGCTGATGTCTTGCAGAATAAGCCCTGAGTCAAATGGACTGACTATAAACAGAGAAAGGTCCCTATTAAGCAGACTGGCAGTAACTTTTCTTCCATTACACAACTCTGCAATTTACTCTGACACAGAATGCTCGTCATTAATTTTTACAAGTAGAATCTAAAACCTTACCCTAAATTTCTGATTGATGGGATAGATCACTTTTGCCTTTAATGCAAATGCTGTGATGTTACTGTTCAGAGGAGAATCACTGTCCTGTATGGAAAAGAACAGAAAATCATTTGGGAGCAGCAGTAGACGTAATGGGTTCACTGTAAGTATCACAAGCCCCTTTTGGTTCCACAACTTAGAAATTCCTACTGATAACTATCTATTTATTGTCTGTTTCTGCTTCGGCACAAGAAGTCTTCTATAAGACTCATTCAGAGTATGAAAGCCAGAAAAGGGAACTCTGTCATTACCATTGCTCCAAAATGTCTTTATTCCTGCAAGGGAAAATAGGCAATAGTTGGTATTCAGAAGTTATATCCATTTCAGGTTTTTTTCCCCTTGCTAGCAGCAACTGAAGATCTCACATGAGAGACTAGAATTATCTTAATAATAGAAACTACTAAAGGATAAGACCCACAGATCTCACCATGGTTATAAATTCTTTCAGTTTAAATAAAGAAACAATAGATTAAACAAAATTAGTCATCATTTTTTTCCAGTAAGAATTTTTATAATACAACCCTCACCTAGAATCTAGAGAAAATAGCAATGTTCTTCCAAAGAACTTTTTATAGATAATGCATTCTTTTTATACAATCTGCTATATCATGTAACCTGACTTGCTGCTCCTCCTCTTTCCTAGCCACTGCTTTATGCACTGGAACAATGGGATAATCAGCTTTGTTTTGTGAGGTTATGCATGGCCTAATAGAAGGTTGGCTATAAACAACAGAATGTTTAAATCTAAGCTTTAGGAGATTTCCTACTGTAACTTTTTTGGTTTTGTCATATGAAATGAAAGAATCTGGTTTGTCAAAACACAATTTTCTTTATATAGATTTTTCTACGAAATATCAAAGCACTAATAGAGTCTAAAAATAGAAATGGGAAGAGAAGGGCAAACTATGCCATTCATCAGACTCTTTCATCATTACACCTTTTAATCTCCATTTCATTTATTTCCACAAGTCATTTTTAGATTTACTGATAAAGTTAAAAACATGAGGTCAGCATGTAAAACACTTGCTCGTATCGAGCAGTCCCACTGCTGCAGTACATAACAAGGCACAGAAGCCAACAGAGCTATTGCTCTGCAATGGCTGGAGGCAGAGCAGCTCCAGTCCAAAGCCATAAAGCCATATCACAGTGTGCTAGAACTAACACATCCTGCTTCTCAGCAGGCGTGAGTAACACACAGTTATTATTAATACAGTATTCGTGGTATTACTGCAGTGTGGAAGATCTCAGAATGAAAATACCTGTTTTCCTGAAGTGCTCTAACCTAACTAAAAGCATTTCCCATGTATGCTTCTTCATGAACTGTCAATTTGATGCTATTAACAGCAAAAGCCTCTGGGAATTGGAACAAATGAACAGAACAAAAAAAATAACTTCAGTAGTTAGACAAATAGGTGGGAGAAGGTACCTTCAAATAACAAGGTTACTTCTTAACGTGTAATAAATGAGCTAACGCATTTGGGAAACAGATATAGTTGTGAATGATCACCTTTAAAACACTATGATCTCACTTCAAAAAGACTGGTAATATGCATAAATTTATGTAATAGTATAAATTCTCCCACAGGATTTGCACTCCAAAAGAGAATCTAATCCATGCTCACTTGTTATGCTGTGTTTTAACTCAAGCAAAATGACCAACCATGGTACGTCACCATTCCTGATCACAAAACTGAAATGAAGATTAATTACCTGTCAGGATTTAAACCAACAGTAAAATGCTTACAATAACATCTGTCTTCTCTTTGTCTTGAAACCAGTTCTCGTTACAACCCAAGCACCAGACCAGCTGGCTTTAACCGACACTTCCTGCACGTATTTAATTTATCTGTAATAGCGTGAATGAGTTAGTTGAACTCACAACCTTTAGCTTCACCAACAACAGTGAAATCAGCTTTGGGTGAAAGGCAGTGATCTAACATCTACACGGTAGGACTAGTTCTCAAATTATTTTGAGATTAATACACAAGAAAAAGTTATTTGAATTTTTGATTCAAGGTGGGTTAAGTTTATACCTTCTCCTACTTTTCTTTCCAAATTGTTTCTCTAATTGTCCTTGAATCCCAGCTCACCACAGTGGTGTTTCAGTACCTGTGGTCATTTGAGCTCTGCACCGTATCTTCAGCTGGTATCTGATGGGAGAACTTCCTATGTGAGAAAGCCATTGAAGATGCTACTGTTTGCAAACATACCCATTTTACTTCATTTATTCCTTCTCCCTCCATTGACCTACCGAGTCCAACTGAGAGTTGGAGCCTCTGAAGAAAAAAGTATTTGTTCCAGATTGAACCTGATGAGATAACTCTGTTACTGTCAAAAATTCTCTAATATATCTCCTTCTCCAGGAAAGAATCCACTACCAACTATCAGCACTGATTTCACTACTTAAGTACTTCTTATATCAACAGTGTTAATTTTTCCCATCAGCCTTTTGAAATTAAGGACAATGTAGAGACAAAACCAAAGAAGCCCTTGTGCAAAAAGAATGCAGGATCCTTATTAAAATATCCAAGACATTTCCCCCAAGAGAAATGGAATTCGTAAGGAGAATGAGCGCCTGAAATGGTTGCATTCATAAGCAGCCATTATCTCCCAGTCTCATTCTTACACTTTTTCTGAACACTTTTTTAAGGGCTCAGCTCCAAATCCAGTAAAATTAAGACAGTTTGGACCAGGCTTTGAATGTGCTCATTGCTACATACAGCAAAATGTACATCTACAAACAAAAGCAGAACTTTACCACCAGCACCATTTCTTCTTTTGATGTATAGGGTTCTGCTTCATTTTTCATGATGGTGTGCTCTTTTTCATCAGAGTTGAAGCTTTCCAGAAGTCTCTGGGAATCATCCTTCTGAACTTCCGAGAGAAAACAGATAAAATATAACACTGAGATCATGCAGGTTCACTGGAGATATCTTTGACAGCAGCCTGGATATATTCATGTCTCCATCCCGAAAATTATTTCAGTATTAGTTGAAAATTTTGGAAAAATACAATCTGAAAATGAATGAGAATTTTACCTATTCAGGAAGGAATAATTAAAATTAATGAACTTTATGAATTTGTCAGTCCAGAAGTAGAATTTTAAACTGAAAAGTTGTTAGAGGGTGTAAACATGTCAAATCAACCCATCTGCTCTCAAAACATCTTACTATGGAGTTGAGCTCACGGTCCGAGTTCAAACTTCTCAATTAAAGCAAGTTATTTAAAATTGTCTATAACTGCCTGCAATGAAGAGAATGCCAAGTATTTTTGATCCCCTGCTATGAGAAAAACTTCCTAAATTATGTTTTATGTGTGGGATAGTTCCTGTCGGAAAGAAATAACCACCAGAAAATGTTCACCATCTTCCTTCCCCAAAAGCAGCCTATATCATTGGTCTTTACTTCCCTAACACACACACACAGAGCTGCTGGTACAGACACAGACTGTGTGGGAACAAAACCTCCTGCTGCACACACTCTTCCCTGTGCACTAGACAGACCAAAAAATAATACTAATGCTGGTCAGTGCATCCAAACACAGCATCACAAGGAATTTTTTTAGTGAGGGAAAAGATGGCAGCCACCCTACCTTGATTACTTTTTAGATTATTTTTCAGGCTTTCAATCCACTGATGGCTTTTTGCTGTAGTCTAACGATATGGCTGCAGCCACTATGCATGTAGCTGTCTTATGGAAAGAGTCTCCTTGATTTATTTGGCCACTTGGTATATAAAGTAGTCCATTTTCTCAGAATATAGAGAACTGCCCAGCCTTTGAATACATTTCTTTCCTTATGACTTGTCTCTTATCACCTCTCTGGAATTTAAATGCTCAATAATACAGATCATATTACTGGGTTAGCCTCTAAGATGTCATGAATTGCAGATGCTGGTTCCTAAAAAAAAAATCTACTTATGACAAAAGAACAGCTACAAGTCTCCCTCAGCAATCTTTTCACTTATTTGCCCCAAACCAGAAGTTCACAAAATTCAGTTTGAGTGACTGACACCTGTGGAAGTAGCCATGTTGAGTTCACCACTGTACCTCACATCGTGGCCACTCCAAAACGAGAATTTGCTTTTATTGACTTGTTTCTCCAATTGTTCATCCGGTATTTATCTTCACTCCATTATATCTCCAACACTATCATTTTAAAAGCGTTTGATTTTTTCCCAGGATTTGTTTTTCTTAATAACATTACTAATCTCATTTCCTTCCTCTCCATTTGTTTTTTTCCTTTGTTATTTTTGCAACTGAAGTGCTACAGAGCTCCCCTTACAGAACATTACAAAGTTGAATAAAACTAAGTCTAACTGTAATTACTGCAACACTTCATCAAACTAATCTAGCAGAATACCATAATGAGACAAGCTCTAACCCAAAGGCCCACAAGGGCCTCCAGGCAACGCTGTACTCTAACAGGAGAGTATTATCAATAAAAATGTATTACAACACACCACATGGTCTGAAGTTACCGTGGTAAAGGTTTCTTCTTAGAACTATCCCAGTGTATCCTATGCACAGATCACCAAACCAATAAGGCACTTAAACTGCACACATTCAAGTCTCACAGATTCAGGCTGAGATCTATAGAATAGTGATTAATTGGGGTTGGGTGACAAACGCTGGTGGCTTATTATGGTGCCTATGACTACTTCGGACTTCAGGTATCCTTGCTCTGCTCCCGTTGCAAAGATACTCAGCTGCCTGGGAAGGAACATGGCATACTAAGGTAAAAAAAGGCTTTTACTTTGGATACAGGATGCTGTAATACGTGCAGTTCAGTACCTGCCATACATACAACAAGCTTGCTCCACAGCATCGGTGGGGCAGATCGTGCGAAGAAGAAACAGGCACAGACAGCCTAAGCAAGCCCTGTTCAATTTGGGAAATCAGACCCATAGAACACAGCCTGACCACCCTGAACTGTGCTCTGCATGCACCAGCAAGCAGTTTGTTTTTCTTTCAAAATAAGCAACTCTTTTTACAGCAGCAGCATTGATTTTAATGCCATTTAAACACCCAGATGCATCTGAAGATCTGGGCCAGAGAGAACTGACAGCTTCTATTCCCTATTGACATAAATGACATAAAGGATAAAATTGTACATGGCTATATTTGAGTTGGTAGTAGCAGTACAATAAAGATACCACCTATTAAGGCAGGGAAAATGGGAATTGAATCAGAGGCCTGCACTTGCACAGGACGCATTGATCAAGCATTTGAAGTGCCTCCATTACTAGGCTAAAGCATGGATTCAAACAGAGTTTCAATCCTCCCACTTAAAAGCAGTTGGGAACAAAAGGATTTTTCTCTTATGTCATGTTTAATGATGAGCAACACTAGCAGATACGCGCATGCAGCAGAGCTGTTATAGCTGAAAAAAGGGTGGTTAAAAACCAAGCCAAACCAGACTCCCCACTGCAGGCTAGCAGAATGCTCCACAGGGCTCCGAACTCCCCAGCTCTGCCAGCACCAACCATTGCTACATCCAACTAAACCAGCACAATTTGGGACTAAATGCAATGGGTGAAAGAAGCCGAAGTCAGTAACAATTCTCAGAAAATACATCTGCCTGGTAGCAGTTCTGCAGGTATGTACTACCTCTGCACTCCTTAAATCCAAACAGTCTATGTAACAGAGATAGAAACCATCCACCACAGTCCTTAAAACAGCAAGGCAGGTTTGTTAACAAGAACCACATGCTTTAGAAAACCCTGTTAGTTTTGCACCCAGCAAACTGTCAGATGTGTTCTGCCTCCTTTATTTCTCAGGTATGTACATATGTACCCTCAGTGCAGTTACTGCTGTGGGCTAATCCTAATACTCTGCTTGTGCTGCTTGTAAAATGAACTTTAGAAAAGTTCATAAAATGCTTTGATAGTCAGATTGCTCTTACTGGGTTTAGGATGGAAATTCGTGTTTATTTTCAATTCTCTCACGAAGCGGCTGGAGGCCAGCCGGGCACATCTTCCACGATCCCCTCAAAAAGCAACACAGCCTCGTACAGTTGCGAGAGGCAACCAGTGGGTCACCTACGTTAAAGAGAGAGGCCAGCAGGGCAATATTCAGAACACATAAATACTTAAACCGGCCTCTTTTTTGAGTCGGACCGTCTGTTTCAGTAAACTTTTAACTGAAAAAAAAAAAAAAAAAAGTAGTCAAATCCTTTCCAACAGAGGTGTGCCAGGAATTACTGGGCTCCCCACCGACCGACCGACCGAGCCCACCCCACGCCCGCAGTCCGCGCTGCAGAATCCGCCGCTCGCCCCACGGGCAGAGCCGAGCCGGCGGAGCCCCCCGGGGCCGCCGTCCCTCACAAACCGCTCCGAACTCCTCCAAGCGGCTCGCCCCGAGGCAGGCCCGAGCCTCCCCACCCCCCCCCCCCGCGGAGGGAAGCAGCGGGGAAGGGCCGGCCGCCAGCACCCCCGCCCGCCGGCCCCGCGTACCTCTCTCCGCCGGCGCGGCCCAAGCGCGCAGCGGCAGAGCAGGGCGGCGGCGGCGGCGCCCAGCAGCAGCCCCAGCAGGACGGTGGGGGCCAAGAGGGCGGGCAGCGCCTGCGGCGAGCCAGCCCAAAACTGCAGCCCCACCACCCGCAGGCAGCCCCCGGCCGCCGCCATCGCGCCGAGCCCGGCCCGCAGGGCCGAGAGGAAGGGAGCGGGGAGGTCCCGCCGCTCGGGGCCCACCCGCCCGCGCCGCGGTGGGAGGAGACCGATGGCGGATGGATGCGGGGGTTGAGGCCCGGCCTGGCTCAAGGGCAGCGCTTGGAAAGTCCCTGCGGCGCCCTACGCGCCCGCGGAGGGTTCGCCTGCCGCCATGCGGCGGCTGCTGCTGCTGCTGGCCGGCCTGCTGATGCTGGCGCTGCTCCGCGGCGAGCTCTCCGCGCCCGCGGAGCCCCTCGGAGCGGCCGCCTGGCGCGCCCGAGCCGGGGGCCGCCCCGCGCCGAGCCCCACGGAGTGGGCCGGGGCGCCGCGCCCGCCCCGAGAGCCCTGCGGCCGGACGGCGGCTGGGGTAAGGCGGTGTGTGCCCGCGGAGCGCTGCGCGGGGGGCGGGCCAGCCCCTCCGCGGGTTGGCCTGGCCCGCGGGCCCGGGGCGGCGGGCGAAGGAGAGGCCCCGTGTGAGGGCGCAGCGAGCGCCCGCGGCGGGGAGCGCGGGAGGAGCGGCGGCCGCTTGGGCTGGGGGCAGCGGCCTGAAAGCTGCCGAGGGTCGGCGCGGCGAGGCCGCTGTAGCGTGGGACATGCTGGCGGTGGCTCCGCTTGGCCGCTTCTCTTTCTCAATGGGGGCATTTCGTGCTTTTTTTTATCTAGTCATGGCACCCTTGCCCGCTGGAGTCAGTCCGCTATTGGGAATGCCACTGGCGGTTTAAGACACAGCTTTTATTTTTCATTCGTTTATCTATCAAGCTGTCTCAAAACGTGTCAACGTAATTTTATTTACCCATGTGGAGAATACCTGAGACACTGCAGTGAAGGATGGAGTGAATTACGAGCGATTAGCTTGTGGTGTGAGTACAAGAAAACTAATCAGCAGGAAATAGGATTGCAGGAACATAAATTAAAAAAAAAAAAAAAAAAAAAAAAAGGCAAAACCCACAACAGTGTGTGTACAAGAATTCTGGAGTGCAGAGAGAGTTGTACAACAAGGTATTTGCAGATAGCCCCTAGTGAAGAGCTCAGTGCCTGCCGTCTCCCAGAGCTGCACCCTGGGTCTGCTCAGGGCGCTGCATTTTCCCACTTGTGTTTGTTTCTCTGTCCTTTCTTTCTCCTCCACAAAGAGATGCTTCCAATCCCATATGTACTTGTTTTCCCCAGAAGTCACCACTTAAAACCCAGGGTTTCTGGTACATCCAAATTGGTGAGATGTCTTGCGTGTTCTGTTGTTTTGAGGGAAAACAATATATCTGAAGTGAGAACTACCTTCACACAAGGTTAACTAAAGTTACAGCTCTAGCAGTAATCAAAGTGATGGCTTCCCTGAGCAGGCAAAGAAGAAAATTGCCCCCAACTTGCTGTATTGTAACAGTGGTGTTGACATAAGTCAGTATTTAACATTACTCACATGCAGTGCTTGGGAGCAAACAGAAACAGCAAGTGCAGGTCACATCACTCAGCGGATTTAGAAGATCACTGTTAATCAGTGAACATTTCTAACTCTGTATTATCTCCTGCAAGGAAGCATTTTTATTAAATGAAAACTTGCTTGTAGAACTACTATGTCTTGATCAAAACACTGGGCATTAACAGTCCTTAAAAACACTGGTTTCTTTTACTGGTAATTTAGAGCTGTGATTTCTGTAGCAATCTCTGCAGTCTGGGCACAGGCGGGAGGCTGTCACAGATTGCCTCACAAGCTGCAGTTTTTAGCTTGTGGTTTCTTTGAAAGGCTCCATGTAATACTCCAAAGGAAATACGAGCATAATATCAGTGGACTTGGTCATCCAATATAGACACATTCCTGCTGACTTCTAGTGATCAGATTTTTGTGTGTTCTCAAGTCTGCCTTTGAAAATTGTGAAGAAAAATTATTTTACAAGAAAAAACTAATAGAAAACCCTTCTGCTCCACTACTGCACAGAGTCTCAGCCTGGTAGTAAAAAGTGTAAGTAGAGTTTGAGCCCCAAGCGTGTGTAGCCATACTGGGAGACAGCAGAGCCTCGTACTGCTTAACAAGTTTCAGGAGATCTCTAGAGCCGTGTTGTGTCTCTTCTGATAGTTAATGTTTGGAAACTCGAGGCTTTGTGGGACAGGGTTCTGTCTAATTATAAATTCAGCATAAGCATTCAATATCAGACATTTATGAAAGCAGTTCTTTTTTTATAATTGCTGTCATCTGTGTTAACTTTAGGTTATTAAACATAATCTGTGGCTTCAGAAAGATATGGGATGTCTGGGAATGACAGGTATGTAACTGTTTTCTCTATCTTTTCAGTGCTGCCCCAGGACAAGCTGGGCATGGGTGTGAAAGTGGGCAGGGGACTGGAGCTGGGCCCTGGTGTCCTGTTCTTGTCAGCAGGATCCTTGATGCTTGGCCACAGGGGAGTGTTTGCTCAGAAGTTACAAATGAGGGTGCTGTAGGATCCCTAAACAGCTCATCTGGAATGGAGCCCCAATGAGAACACCTCAGTTCATACCCTGCTGTGAATCATTTTCAGGAGGAGCCCTTTTTCCTCATTAAACATAATGTAGGGAAGCATCTTCTGATGCTCAGCATTCCCAGAGTTGTGGAAAACCCTTATTACCTAAGGTTGATCAAGACCTTACACCTTTTCAGAAGCTAACTTAACCTCTGTGCATTTACTAACACTGTTGCAATACCTACTGCTGAAGCTATTTTCAAAGGCCTCTGCAATTACAATAACTAATATACTTTGTCTTGGACCTAGATAGACTCCTAGACATAGAGGGCCTGGAAGTGTTGCTGGGATGCTAATACTCTTTACAGTGAGTACAAAGTATACTTGTCACTAGTCTCAGATAGACTGGGCATCTCCAGTAGTAGTTGCCTAATGTGATCGAAATAGGGTACACTTAGAGAATTTCCTTATAGCTTGGATGAACTGCGTCTGAAGGCTGACTGCCACAGGCCCTTTGTGTACATTTGAACAAGTCACTTAATTTCTCTGAGTCTCTGGTCTTTATTTTCTTTATATGTGTATAATAAAGAGTGTGCTACCTCACCCAAGTGCAGTGGTGATGAGTACCCTGAAAGGTTATGACATCCTCTTGTCCTGGATTTGAGTGGTGGGGTTTCTGATAGCAGGGGAGGGGGCTACAGCAGTGACGCCTGTGAGAAGCTTCTCAAAGCTCCCCTGGCTCCAAGTCAGACTCACCTCTGCACCAAGGCTGAGCCAATTAGCTACACCTCTGCAATAATGTATTTAAGAGGGGACCTGGGAAGAGGAGTTGGAGTTATGACGAGGAGTTGTGACATCTGTGTGAACACCAAGGTCAGTGGAGGAACGGAGGAAGAAAGGAAGGCGAGAGGTGTGACAGAGCAGAGACCCCTCTGTATCCTGTGGTGAGACGGCAGGGCGGCCCCCCCTGCCACCCACAGAGGTCTCCAGTGGAGCAGATGCTGACATATTGTCTGTGGGAGGCCCCCATGCCATCTCAGGTGACTGCAGCTGAAGGAGACTGGAATCCTGTGGGAAGAAGCAGCCTGCACTGTTGTAGTTTGCCGCTGGGAGGACTGCAACGTGGGGATGTCCCATGCTGGAGCAGCTCAGGAAGGGCTGCATCCCATGGGAGGGACTCAAGTTGGAGAAAGTCTGTGGAGGAATGTCTCCTCTGAGAAGGGGACCATGCTGGAGCAGGGGGAAGAAGTTCCAGAAGTTTCCCCTGCACCAAGATGGAGAAATCAGCAGCACTGACTGTAGCTCCCATTCCCTGTCCCTCAGCCACTGGAGGGTTGGGAGGTAGAGATATTGGGAGCAAAGCTGAGCCTGGGAAGAATGGAGGGGTGAGGGAGGGTATTTTCAAGGTGGTAATATTTCTCACTGTCCTACTCTGTCTGTTAAGTGGTGTTGTTAGTACTGGTATTAAGTTTTTGTTCTTTTTTTCTTCCCCTAACAATTCTGTCTTTTGCCCATGATCGTAATGCGTGAGTCATCCCTCCCTTTCCTTATCTTGAATTCGAAACATTTCCTTATTTTCTCCTTCTCAGCTCTAGGAGGCAAGGGGAGAATGAGCAGCTGTGTGGTGCTCAGTTGCCCTCTGGGCTCAAACCATGATGCCTCACAGCATATTAACAGGGGCAATGCAATGTCTGAGATAGACCCACTCCATGGCTGCGGCTCCCCCAGAGATGATTTCATGACATTCATTTGCCAAGAAATTACACACTCTGAAGCAGTTGTCTAGTGAGATGCCTCTAATTTCTTTGCCCTGTGCCATAGCTAATTCACAAATTAGTTTATTAATTTAAATACAAAAGCAAATCATTCTGATTTGCTGAGCTTCCATGTTTTTTTCCTGTATTTATTCAGTGTCATCTTTGCTGCTTGCATCTTGCTTTCTGGTGGGTTGCAGATTATTAAGGTATCATCCACTGAGAGAGGAAATGCATGCAGTTTTGTAGTTCAGAAAAACCTTCGGCGCTAAAGAAAAAGGGGAGCAATTGGAGGATTTTGACATGCAATATCTTTTTGTTAGTGGTTGGAAATAATGTGGCCATCAGGACTAGGGAAGTGATTGTCCCTTTGAACTTGGCACTGGTGAGACCACACCTCGAATACTGTGTTTAGTTTTGGGCCCCTTGCTACAAGAGAGACATTGGGGTGCTGGAGTGTGTCTGAAGAAGAGCAACGAAGCTGGTGAAGGGTCTAGAGAACCTGTCCTGTGAGGAGCAGCTGAGGGAACGGGGATTGTTTAGCCTGGAGAAAAGGAGGCTGAAGGGAGACCTGATTGCTCTCTACAACTACCTGAAAGGATGTTGTGGTGATGTGGACGTTGGTCTCTTTTCACAAGTAGCAGGTGATAGGACAAAAGGAAACAGCCTCAAGTTGTGCCAGGGGAGGTTTAGATTGGATGTTAGGAAAAATTTCTTCACAGAAAGGGTTGTCAAGCACTGGAACAGGCTGCTCAGGGAAGTGATTGAGTCACCATCCTTGGAGGTACTTAAA